AGAGGTACAAAAAGAGAAAACCAACCTCGGGTTTTATCTTTTCCCTTTTTACAACGACCATCTTCAAAATTGGCAAAGTCAAATCCGTCATTAACGTACTTCCCGCGTGAAATTAATATGGCTAACTAAATCCAAAACTGATTATTTTATTAGACTAAAAAATTAATAAAAAAATTTGCTCGGGCACTTTAGGGGCCATTAAGTGCACTTAATAATGCCTAGGCATGCTTAATTAATCTGAGTGGTGCAAACTGCATTAAAATTTTACTTAAAGGTTGATGCGGGTAGAATGACACCACCTATAACCTAAGCGCCACCTAAAACCTAAGCGCCACCTAGGCCCACTTTTTATAACACTCGTTGGCATCCTTGTTGGAAGAATAAATGTCCCCCAATTGTGACAGAAGTGAGACACAATCAGGGCCCAGAGAGGTGGTTTCGACAAGATCAAACTACAGGGATTGTTTTGACAGGTTCCTTGGAAACACATTTTGTAACAATAAGCTTCTTCTCTTGAGGCATCAGTTCAGGATCTTCTAAAGTTGTACTAGGTGCCTAAACAAAGAGGAGAAAATATAATAACAGAATAGAGTAAACACTCGTGTCAGAAGGTCTCACTATAGTAACAAACAACTGAAAGTAAACTACAACTACACTATTTGCCTTCAATCAAACATATTATGTGGACGATGTAAACTTCTATTACAATTTCAGCAAATGTCAAAATTCTGCGAAAGTAACGTGTACTAAAGATTACCATAGTTTAAAAATGATTGCCTTGTTTAGCCATACAGCAAACCAGACTGTTCCCAGAGAACCAAAGGAGAAAAGACTGATGGCCATCCAAACTTATGTATTAAGAAAGGTGAAAAAGCCAGACCAGTAACTGAGCCAAGATACATACTAAATAATAGTTACCATACTCTTTTGGAAACAGGTTCTACCATGGAATTTTTGAAATAAACATAATCACAGAAAATTGAAGTTATAGTTGCCAGAAAATTAAAGAACCAACCTCACCAATTCCCATGAAAGCACGAACAACAAGTAGGAATGGCAACCCAATATTGGCAGCAACAGGAGTAAGAACAGTAGCAATAGACCACCAAACTACGCCAAATACCAGGACTGACTTCGCACCCACTGTGTCAGCCCATATGCCACCAGCAAACTGTCACTTTCGACCACAATCAGAGTAAAACCCAAAACAGTCTACTCATTCAGATAAGAACTGGAAGTGATCTTAAAACTTAAAAAAAAACATTGAATTAGGTAAACCCAGAAGAAAGATGACTGTATCAAACCAACAGTAGTTGGACTCCAATTGAACTCTGCCGACATGGGCAGTATAGCAATGCTCATATTTACAAGAAAAACAAAATCTATTCAAAATTGATACAAGAAGAATTAACAAATTCCTTCATGGGAACCTAAATTAAGAACAAAAATGTAGCCGAAGCTTACTCTATCCATATTACACAAAAAAAAAAATGCCGAAAAACACAAAACCACGATAACCCAACGTTTCGGGAACTGGTCACACCACGGGATCGAACCCTCCAAATCCTCAGCACTCAAAACTATATCTTCTAACCCATCTTTATACTTCACCAATTCCCGTATCGACTCCGCTATTTCTCTAACATCTGCGTATAGTTTCCCGCTCCTTTTCTTGCCCGAATTCCATACCGAAACTTAGAAAACATGGAACCGATTGTGGACCCCGACCTGGAATTGGGTCCGAACAGGGGATGCTTTGCTCCGGGTGGAAATGTCGGGAGGGTTTTTGGGTTTATAGAGAGAGTGGAAATTAGGAGAGAAGAACAGAGCTCCAGCGTTCATGGCTACTGTTTTCCGTTCACCACTTCAGTGACAGAAGGGTTGAAAGATTTTTTATATGTGGTTTTGGAGAGAGAAAATGGACCCAACTTTATGGGGATTAGCGCCGGTTTTCTCACGTGGCTGCAATGGACTAACAG